TGTTTCCTATTTTCGGTATGTTTCGGCCAAGAATTTCCCATTCGGTGCACCCCTAGTAATAATGACACACACACACACACACACACACACACACACACACACACACACACACACACACACACACACACACACACACACACACACACACACACAACTAGAGGCGACTAGTGACACACATGACCCATAACAATAACATGCGCCCATTTCCAGCTGCTACAGGCACATGTACTTCGTAGGTTATTTAGGTAAATCTGTGAGAAATCTCTCTGGAGCAGACGTCTATCCCCTGGAGATGTTGAAGACAAATATGAAAATTGTAGGTACGCTATAGTATTTGTGTGTTATTATGAAGTAGTTTCATGTTAATCTGTGAGACAATGGTAATCAACTGCAATACCCAATTGAGTGTCATAAATCTCATTTAGCTATTTACTATTTTCTCCTGAAGACATACTGTACAGTATGTCTTTGGATTGACAGATTGGATTGTATTACAAGAACAATGTAACCTTCAATTTGTTAGAGGCATCTGTTTGACTGTTTTAGAATATGCTAAAAATAGCAAAAGCCACAAAAGTCGTGTTTTGGAGAAGTGGAAGGAAGGCTATTAAGAAACTAAATTATGTAATTTAATGAATATCTTTTTTCAACAAATGTCCCTTTTTTTTTTTACTTTCCATCTGCTAAAGACCTTGTTTTCTTTCTGTGTAACCTGCAGCTGCGCTCTCTGGGAACCATGCCTGTAAACATCATGTTAGACGTGGCCTTCGATGTAGTTAGTATCCAGCTGCTCTTTCATTCTGACTTTGATCAGTTCTACTTCAATAATAATGACTAAACTCATTAATATGCAGCTTCTTAAACACCAAGCATGCAGCTCTTAAGTATAAAGTATCATTGGTGTATGTTAGAGAGAAATGTTGATGCACTGCATTAGTTGTTGTAGTTCAATTTAAGTAATTCTTATTAAATACTGATGAAAGAAGAACTGTTTTGTAGTTGGTTTATACAGTAGGCGTTTATGTTAAGAAAAGCTTAAGATAAGTTGATAAGCCCCAAGATGAGTGTTTGTTCAATATTCTGTTTTAGCCTTTCGTGACCTTAGCCATGTAAATTCATAAAGTCTAAGTGAATGGAAAATGTATATAAATGATTTATGTTAGTAAGTCAAACTGATCCCATCTTTTCATGCACAGCCAAGTGCTTTCTTTATCTTACCTTCAAACTTTGTTTTTCACATACCTCAGTAGAAACGGACTAAATCTGGCATGCTTGAAGACATGGTTGCACTAACATCATCTTTTCTTATCTCCTCATAGCGTTCACACAACTTATTTGGTGACTAAATATTTAGCAGGGCATGCTACCAATGTTTCAGTTTACTTGTCACAAGGAGTAGTGTGTCTGTGAAAATAGTTGTTTCATGTATTTTCGTGCACTGTGAGACCATATATTAAAACTGAAGGTCCAGGACTCCCATAATAGGACAAAAACTGACACATTTTATCTGTATTCATTTTTACACATTTATTGAAGTGCAGTATGAAATAGTCAGTCTTTCCCACATAAAATGTACTAATATGTTCGTGAAATTACAAGTTTCAAGATAAGAGTCTCAATAAGGTATTCATTATGTGCTCTTTACCTAGAAATCCCTTTGAACAAATTCCCAAGGCTACAAACAGGACCTGTGGAAGTTGGCTAAGGTAACTTATGCTCCAAGGTCAGGCTGGCCCCTGCAGTGAATCTGGAATCTGGTATCCCCCCCCAAGGAAATTACCATGAACACATACATCCCTACGCACTGACACTCAAAGGCTCTCAGCCGTCCCTCTGGTGCCAAGATCCAGTTTCTCGCTGTTTGTCAGTTGTTATCTCTGCTGGCAAAGCAAAATATTCTTGATCTTTCCCCTTGCTGAGTCCCTAGGGAGTGCGTGCATGCTTGTCCAGTACGTATGTGTGTTAGGATGGTTTCATGTTTTCTTTTTCTTGGTGTGTTTTCATGTTCATACTGGCATGTAGTAAACCTCCACAAATAAGCCTTGAATTATGACTTCAAAACTTACAATGTGTTAAAGTTGCAGAACTCTCTAAAACCACAGTGCGAAGGTAAACTGTGAATTCACAAAAAGCGAGCTTAATTTCTGCCTACCTTTTGTTCTCTTCCACTTGCGTGACCAACATGATTCATAGAGGAAAAACAGTTGCCGAGGCTCTTTGGCTCCTGGCCTCTGGTTTGCTATTTTTAGTGAGTTTTCACTTTTTTTTCTGTGGCGTCAAGCTTAGAAAAAAGTGACAGGAGAAAGGAGCCAGCTGAATCAGTGTGAGCCTGGTTCTCATTTGTGCTGACCTTGCTTTACAGGAATCTCTCACTAGTGTCACTCACACTTCACTCTGCAGGAGGAGCAGGATGAGCTGGAGGGGAGAGGAGTGGAGATGTGAAAAGGAAAAACAAAACTCTAATTACCACAGTACTTGTTGAGATGTAATCAAAGTGTGTTACCGAGCCCAAACTACATGCTAGTGTTTGACCTCTGCTCAATGTTTATTAGTGAGTAATTACAAGAATTGGAGCAAAACATTCCAATGAGAGTTTTGGGCGGTTTAACCCTGTCTAATTGCAATTTTGACTCCGCATTGTTTGTATATTATTTAAACAATCGCATAACTAATCAAATATTTCAATGCTAAAAGTGCAGCGCAATCAGTCAGAAAAGCAATATATAAATGCATGAAAAATATAATGTGCTTTAAAAAAAATCTAATTTCCCCAAAGCTCCCAAATGTGTGCAGGTGTCAAATACTTTTGTGTGAGCAAAAACATTTCAGTGTATGGTCAGTCAATCAATCTGTTGGCGTTAAGAAGGCTGGAAGTACCTCCAGCTAGGCATGGCATATAAACTGCACATACATTTTTCCAGGAACTCTTTAAAACTGTTCAAATGCTAAAACTCTATCGCATTGACGTTAGCTTTCAGAACAGCATAATAATGTTGGTGTTTTAATATCGAGAATATCTAATAAACTTATCAACAATACACAACCAAGCCATCTAATGCTCAATAAACTCTTGTAGGTAACACACTTTGATAAAAGACATTATGATTCCAATGGCCCTACCACATAAGATGACAAGATTTACTGTGTCATGGTGATCTTGAAATATATTACGTACATATATTTCTATCTGTCACAGTCGCTTCCAGCATCCATGTTTGGCTGACAATCTGACAAGGTTGTTGATTACTTTTACTGGCAGAGGTTTTTCACTTTGTGTGTGATAAATATTGACTAGCCACTGGAAAACAAAAATTCAGACAGCTGAACCCCAAATAGATCAGCCTTCTGACAACACAATCCTGTGTTGAAGCCGTCCATCACTTTTACTGATTGTGAAGAATGAAGAGCAGTCACCCATTTATCCATGATCTAATTTTCAGAGCCTGAATGGGCCATTCAACCCTGCACAGATTGCGAGCTGCTAGCCAACACATTTAAGGGCGGGGTCCCTTTCTTGTTAGTATTTCTTTATTTGTATAAATGATGGGCCACGGTAACTAAGACGGTGTTCATGTGGATGGCACCCAGTTGGAAAGTACACAGGAAAGGGTGGGAAGCTAAGAGAACATTTGCCAGTATTATTTAATCTTCCCTGTGCTCTGCAAAAGTCCTAATGGACTCCATTCCTCTCTCTGTTAACTCTCTTCTGTTTTTCTCTCTCCCTCGCTCGGTGTTTCTAAAGTAGGCC